CAGGGTCTTGAGACGTCCGAGTGGAACGGGGAAGAGTGAGGACGGGTTCGACGTGGCGTTCGACGACGCACGCGGTTCGGCAAGACTGGGCACCTTGACTAAGGGTCGCAATGAAATCTGGAGCGTCTCGGGGTGTTCACAGTGGACAAGAGATGACGAGCGCGGTCGCGGGTCGCAGAAGTAAAGGGAAACGAGGGGGTCGCGCAGGGGTCGCGGCTCTATTCGACGAGATGGTCGCGGGTCGTGGTACAAGCTGTGCTCTTACGAGCGTCTAAACTACCATCTACGGTACGCTTCGCGCCTCGACTAACCTTCGAACCTGCGCCGCTCGACAACTCGACTACGCGCGGTGACAGAAGAGCCGCGTTCGACCAGTTTGGCCAGGCGCAACCGACATCGTTACATTGACGTCAGACGGACGATACGTGCGGAAGAGTGGGAAAACGGGCAGAAAACTGAACGCACCGAAAGGCTGATTGACGGATCGAAAGCTCACGAACCTGTCGTGCCGCTATCTCGGACCTCTCCCCTCATCTCTCCACCCCGTCGCTGTCTTGGCATTGGCCATGAAGCAGAGTCCTCTAACATACGCTCCGCGCAGACCACTCCCCCGCCATCGTCAACTTCGCCGTGGAAGACATGTTGCGCAACCTTCGGCAAGCATGCACAAAAAACCAGAGAGACGACGTCGATCGCTTGATGGAGGCGCGCGGATTGCAGGGGTGGCCTGCGCAGACGCAACGACTGCCTGGGCGGAATGACTTGAACGAACTTGATTTGCGTGGCACGACGTCGACCCTCCCTCCGTCATACCAATCGTATCCGCTGCGGCGAATGCGAGCTCCGAGGCAGCCGGCCTCGGGGTCGGGAGCGAGGAGACGGGGCAGCATGTCGGAGCCCGGAGGGTGGCATTACTTGAAGGATAGCGTATGAAGATCACAATTGACGTTTACATGCTGATCAGCCTGCGAGGATCCTTCAAGCTCAAGTTCAGCCTCAGCTGAGGGTATCGAGGGAAATGACATCGCTCGCTCTCGCATCGAAACATCTCTCTGCGTAGTACCTAGCGGTTGTGCTCTCTAGAGGCTTCCTGAAGTATCACCTGTTCGGCCTAGGCATCTCGATACTTTCGCAGCTCCGGGTCCTTGAGCAGCTTGTCCATGACGTCCGCCGCAAGATGCAGGGACACGCAGACCGGCTCAGCATACCACCGACCACCGTTCCCCGCCCCAAGGGGCCCCGCCTCCATCACATGGATGCACCCGTCCATGCTCGGCATCACCGCGTCGACATAGCGGGGCGGCGCTCCCCCTCCAAAGTCCACCCCATACGCATCGAGGTTCTGCCACGACGTGACGATCGAGTGTCGCCGGCCGAGGAACGCACGCCAGGTCCGCTGCGGGTTCACCGCGTGCATCATCTCGTGCAGGAGGGCAGAGATCGATGGGGGCGTGAACTGCGACATGGCCGCGCGGATCGCGCTCGCGGCCGGGGCGACGGACTCTGCAGAGACGATCTCCTCGCCCGTCAGGCTCACGCGCGCGAGGGTGATGGGGGACCCGAGGAATGCGTCCGGCAGAGGGGGCGAGAGGCGGGAGCGCACGCCGATCGTGACCGCCATGTTGATCAGCTCCGGGTCGTGCGCCATGCCGCGGGCGCGGACGATGAGCCGCCAGACGAAGGCGAGGAGCGCGTCGAGGCGGGAGATCCGGGGCGCGGATGGGTCTTGGTGGCGCGACGCGTCCTCCCACATGCGCTGCACCTCCGCGGGCGCGAAGTAGACGAGGTAGTGCGCGACTGGTGCCAACACGTCCCACTCGGACCAGGGCATGGGCTCTCCAGGCGGTCCGATATCCGTGCCGCGCAGGACCTCCGGAACCTGCGTGGCTGGGAGCATGGGTGCGGGACACCCATTCGCGGACGACCACCAGTCGTATCGATGCATTGGCAGGGCCTGTGCAACGCTGAGGAGCGCGGGATCAGGCCCGTCTGCTTTCATGTCGCCTGCAGCCTTGTCCAGGAGGGCAGGGTCGAAGATCGGATTGGGCACCGGAAGGCTCGGCTGCCCCGAGCTCTGGAGGAGTGCACGGTGCACGGCCGCCCAGTCCTTGACGAACTGGAACATCGCGATCGCGTCCGCGATGCAGTGGACAAGCCTCAGCCCGACGCTGAACCCGCCGCATGCGAAGGCCGTGAGCTGGACAGAGACGCACGGCAGGCCCATATACTCGTTTCTGTTGTGCAGCGCGAGCGATGTGGGCGCGAGGAGCTGCTGGGACGGAAACGAGTCTGCGTTCCATGCCCCGCTCGCGATGCGTTGGCGGCTGTCTGGGACGAGCGACGCGAGCGTGTTAGAGCAGCGTGCGTGGATGAGTTCGATCCCTGGGTCGGAGGAGGAGCCGTAGGTGAGGGCCACGCGTCCGTGGCGCTGTCCGTTGGCTGGATCGTATGGGAGCCAGTGCAGCTGACCCGCCCACTGTGGATAGGAATTGAGCGTGATCTGGAGGGATTCTGTGAGTGCATCCGAGTCGAACGCTGCTTTGGCTCCAGCCTCAGGGGGAGAGTCGAAGTACCACACCGCACTGGTCAGCGCGAATCGAACGACTGAGTTGTCTAGGATTGAGAGCGGTACGGTGTGCGCTGAGCCTTCCGACCGCTGCTTCGGGAGCAGGCGGGTGCGGGAGATGGATTCGACATGAACGTCTGCCAAAGGTGTACACGTCAGTGTCAAGACTCGACTAGTATCCCTCACTACGTACCTGGGGCGATGTGGGCCATGGTTGTATGATTAGAACACTGCAACGGTTGGTCAGTCTGGTGGGCTGAGGTGATTGCACTAGACAACAAGTAGGTCCGTGAATCGATCCACCCGCGATGGGGTGTGGCAATCATATGAGTCATGGCGGGCCCTCCGGTACCGTCGGAATAAATTCCGCATGAACGAAGGTTCGGCGAAGGCTGCAACGTGCTACATGCACTTGCTGAGCTTCTCTGATAGAACTCAGTGTGGGCAAGAGACCTCTCTATGGGGCACAAGGTCGAACTTCAAAATGGTCATAGCGCACTGGTCAGCGGGAAGAAGGCTCAACGACGGAGTCATCAAGTCGCCTTCACACTGGCCGAGGTTTGGCCAACGCATGAAGGAAGTGCGGATAAATCCATGAAGTCAACCAACCTGAGACAGAGAGCGGCGAGCCGCGAAGTGCAAGAGTCGACGTCTGCAAAGTTTGACTCTCGATCGACTGTATAAGGAAGTTTTGATCAAGCCGTTGACAAACATGCCAAAACAATCAAGTTGCCGAGGAAATAACCAAGTACATAGTGTTACAAGTGAGTGGTGGTACACATACAAATGCTGCGTCTTTCTGTTGTTCACAACTGCTTGCGCTTTTTGTTCTTCACTGACATCACCACCTGCACATGTCCGGCTTTGGCTCGCGGTCCAAGCATAGGCTGAGCTCCCAGTCACCCGTCCTCTTCGCCCATCGATACATCTTGCAGCCGTCGTACTTCGTCCGAGGGGACGCCGTCATCTCTGTGAGCACCGCAACAAATCGGGCAGGGTCGCTATCGCGCTGCATGAACGTCTGGAACGTGCGCTTGCGGTCGTAGATCATGAAATGGCCCGGCGGGCCCATCCCGGGCAGCCCGCCCTGCAGCTTGATGAGGAAGAGCCTGTCTGCGTGCTCGTTCGGGGGTGCGTTCGACGGGTCGAGCTTGTTGGCCGCGCTCGTCTTGTCCGAGAAGCCGAGGTCGATGTTGCTGTACTTGTTGAGGGTCGCCGCGTGCCAGTCCTTCCCCGAGTCTGCCATTCCGAGCCTCCGCGGGCTGATCGGCAGCGAGGACATCTCGATGGACACCCACTGCGCGTCCCGGAGCGAGTGTTCCCGACATGCGTCCTTGTGGTTCGCCCAATCGGCACTCTGGCATGCTGCGTTGGGGCTCCGAGTCAGAAATGCGCACGATCTAGGCCTCATAGCACATACTGGAGCCGCAGTACGAGATGGATTGGCACCGTGAACACCGGCTCGCCCCCGACTTCCCACACACGGCACATCCAACCTGGCTGTTGAGCTTCGCCAAGGCGCTGTACTCGAGCGGTCCGATCGGGAGCAGCACGGACGCGTGGAACTGCTTCTCGCTCGACCGCCGCTCGATCGCGAAGCCCTCGGGGACGAGTGAGGCGTTTCCCTTGAGGACCTTGAGCAGGATCTTGTACTCGAGTGGCGAGACACTCATCGCGACGGCCCTCCCGGCATCGGATGGGGTGTGGGCGACCTGTTCCTGGATCCACTTGGTACTGCCACTCGAGCGGTCAAAGGGACGATAGAGCACGACCAGCGCGGGAGTCTTCTCGTCGATTCGCAGGACCGAGACGACCTAACGATATAGGGGTCATCGTCGTCAACAGGACGAAAACGCTGGTCAGACGGGAAAAGCTTGACGGACGCGGATGCTGATGGCGCGCTTCTCGTCGCGCCCGTCGCGAATGAGCCACCACAAGCTGCCGTTGTCCACGAAGTGCGCCATGCGCGTGATCGCCCGGCGGAGCTCCATGAACGGGTTCGCGCCGCTGGAGATAATGTCGTCGAGAGTCCCCTCGAAGGCCTGTCGCGCCTCGTCCAGGTTGCCCCTCTGGAAAGCTGCGAGAAGTGTCCGGGAAGAGGGCGTAGATTGGCCAGGAGCTGATAGGGGCCATCCCGGCAGCGTCCCCAAGTCAAGAGAGGGCGGAAGATGGTCTTTGTATTGAGCAGCATCTAGGGCCTCTCGAAGGCGCGTCTGCAGAGCGCCGTCTGGAAGCTTGGTGTCAGCAGGGAGCTCAACACCGAGAGATGCCAGTGTCTGGAGTATATCTGCACGGGTGAGTGGTTCCATGGTAGTTGTGAACAAGTCGCGAATGAGACAGGGACAGCGTGCAGTGCGCACTTATAAGTATGGAGGCAAGTTAGCATCCATATTGCGCAGCCCCTCAGGTGCACCAATGAGGAAGGTCGTTTGTCGGCCGGCTGGCCTAATGGTTAAGGCGTCAGTTTCCGGTCCTACTATGGGTAGGGGAACAAGCTGAAGATTCTGGGTTCGACTCCCAGGTTGGTCGCTTTTTGTCACTCCTGATGGACTTCTCACTCACCCCGAGAGCCCGGACTGGACCTAGGAGGGTTTGGACGCGATTATTTGTTTCAAGTCTGAGCAGGACGATAATAGCCCAGTACCTACTCATCAGTGACGTCACATACATCGCTCGCCGTTCTTCGCCTGGACGTCACTGAAGTTCAAGCGTGCTTGGCGGGCCCGATAGGCATAGGCATACGGGGATAACTGCATTGCGACCACACGCAGGCATATGATATGCAGCAATGCTTCGGCACAAGAGACGGCTTCAAGCCGAAGTTCTATCCAAGCCCAGGGTATCGAGCGATGAGGGACGGCGCGTTCGGCTGTGAGCAAAGGCTGTTCAACATGACATGAGCCGTACGCGGTGACGAACTCAAGCGCGCCAATGCGGACTTCGTGGGTGACTGTAGTAGGGATCGGATTTTTGAACAGCATACGTACAGGCATAGCATAGACACACGTGCACAGGAAGGCGAGTACTTCTGGGAGGTGGCAGCGCATTTGTGAGCAAGCTGCAAGAGGACGGGGTAGACGTACGCGAGCGAGAAGCCGCCACAGCGGCTATTCGGCGGTGCACCACAGCCTCTCGAGCTGGGCGAGGGAACTCGCAGCAGAGTCGACGCCAGATACGATCGCTTCTCGGAGCACGCCCGCGGGGCGTGGTGTTGGTTGAAATGGAAGACAGCGAGCTGTTCGGGTGTATATATACCGACACGACGCTCAGCGATGACTGACCTCTGCCACATCCACCCTGCTGCACCAATACCGTATCCTCGCCTAATCGTCCACATTGCACAAGTCTTCACTTCACACATCACCTCCACATGGGCTCCCAGCACAGTCGGTCGCTCCGTTCTCATCGCAGCAAGGAGAGCCGTTCAGGGCAGAGCAGCAACGACAGCCATCGATATCCAAGCCCAGGCGCACATCAGACACAGAAGCAGGGCGAAGAGTACAAGGTGAGGACGGCAGAAGGAGCGTGGGCGTCGTCCGCACCGCTCTCTGCACCGGTGGCCGCGCCGCCTTCGGCCAGTCCACAGCCCACTGCGCACGGCCTCGCCGGACACGGCACCGAGAGGCGGGACGGGGAGAGGCATCGCGGAGAGGATGGCGGAGAGGACGGAAGACGTGCCGGACGTGCGCCGGACGCGAGCCGAGATTCGCATCAGGAGGGTGTGAGTACTGCATCAAGTGTGCTATAACCCTAATTATAAGTAACGCGCTCTGCTCCTGCTTCCCCTCCCTTCCCTTGCTCTCCATCGACATCCTATCGTCGCCCACACCCATCTCGTCCGACATCCAGTACGACCCCAGCACAGAGCCTCTCAGAATGGCACCCGCGACCGTTCCCTGTCAGGTCAGTCCTCGTCGCGCTCCTCGCTTGGCTCGCGCGGCTGATAATCCCCCTCCATCCATCCAGTATCGGACGGGCAAGACACTAGGCAGCGGAACGTATGCCATCGTGAAGGAGGCAGTTCATATCAAGACCGGCAAGTACTATGCTTGCAAGGTCATCAACAAGAAGCTCATGGAGGGCCGCGAGTACATGGTGCGTCTCATACCCCCCTGAACACGAACACCAGTCGCATTCCCTAGAGATCATGCGATCGCATCTATCTATCTGCATTGAGCACCGAGCGAAACGTCTTACACGCTGCCATCCACGTGTAGGTCCGCAACGAGATCGCTGTCCTGAAGAAGGTGTCCAAGGGTCACCGGAACATTGTCACTCTCCATGACTACTTCGAGGTGCGTTCCCAGACGTCCCCGCGTATCCCAGTGCTTATCTCGTATTCCTCATCGATCAGACCGCGCACAACCTCTACCTCTGTTTCGACTTGTGCACGGGCGGCGAGCTCTTTGATCGCATATGCGCCAAAGGCAACTACTATGAAGAGTACGCGCCCATGCCCCGCCCATCCTGCTTATTCGGTCCACTGACTCGAATTGCCATACAGAGACGCTGCCGCCTTGGTGCGCACCATCATGGGTGCTGTCAAGTACATCCACGAGTGTGGCATCGTACACCGGGGTCCGTCATTCCCTATTAATCCACTCCGGGGTTTCTGATCTCCGGCATACAGACCTCAAGCCCGAGAACCTACTATTCCGCACTAAGGACGAGGATGCAGATATCATGATCGCCGACTTCGGCCTCAGTCGTGTTATGGACGAGGACAAGTTCCACCTCTTGACGGAGATTTGCGGAACGCCGGGCGTACGTCTCTCGAAGTTCGAACTACCATCTGCATTGGCATCTGACCGTATCTTTCCGCAGTACATGGCTCCGGAGATCTTCAAGAAGAGTGAGTTACGCGGAATGTATGTGGCGTCTGCTGCCAAGGTACTGACCGCCGTTCTACTCCGCAGCCGGCCACGGCAAGCCCGTTGATGTCTGGGCTATGGGTGTCATCACCTACTTCCTGCTATGTGGTACGGCAGCTCCTTTCGCGCAGCGCACACTATCTAACATGCAATTCAGGATACACCCCATTCGACCGCGATACGCAGCAAGAAGAGATGGAGGCCATCATCGCGGGTGACTACCGTTTCGAGCCCGGTACGTCCCTCGTTGGTACTCCTTCAGGCATCATTCGTGTAGACTGAGTGAACCGGTTTTCACAGAGGAGTACTGGGCGAACGTCTCGGAGACCGCGCGCGACTTCGTGTCAGAGTGTCTAACCATTGACCCTGCCTCACGGCCGACGGCCGCAGAGGCGCTGCAGCACAAGTGGCTCGCGTCCGACGAGCCGCACTTCGTGCCCGACCCCGACAGCCCGAGCGGCCGCCCGACGAACCTGCTGCCGCACATCCAGAGGGCGTTCGACGCCCGGAAGACTTGTGCGTTCTCTGACCCCTCAGTCTCCGCGTTCGCTGCTAGACTGACGCATTTGATTTTGATGTTGCGCGCACAGTCCGCAAGGCGGTGTTCTCGATGATCGCGACCAAGCGCATGTCGACGCTCGCCGGCTCGTCGCCCACGATGCAGGGCTTCGGGCGTGACATTGCGCAGTACAAGGAGGAGTCCGAGAAGGAGCAGGTCGACGAGGTGCGTGCTCGCGTGTCCCCTCTCCCCCCTCTCCCCCTCCCCCTCCCCTTCGCATGTCGACGCGCAGACACTGACTTGGGCACCCGCGCGCAGGACCGGAACGTGATGCACTACGACGGCTCGGACGACTCCAAGGAGGAGCTGAAAAAGCCCGAGTCCGAGGGCCTCGCGCAGAAGATGCAGAACATGTCCGTGTAAGCCCCGCTCTATCGCCGCCGCTCCCCTCTGTCCATCTGCTCCTCTGCCCCCCTCCAATGTCTGCTCGCATTCCCCCATGTCCCCTGGTCTGGTCCTCCGTTCGCTGTGTCAGCAGGAGACGAGGGAGGGGGCTGACTCGGGGTTTCCGCAACACAGATGAGCACGACAGGCCGCCCGGGAGATGAACACGGAGACGGAGACGGAGACGAAGACGGAATGGGCGCTGGCCGTTGGTTTATGTGCGTAGGCTCCCCTGCGTATGTGGGTTGTGAGCGGAAGAAGTCTGAAGCGGTATCTTGCTGTGTATATTGGCATGCTTTCTCGTTGCATTTGTACATCATTCCACCCCTACCTCTATCTCTAGTCATCATCGTATGCATGCGTTTGCAGTATTGCTTGCGCGGACGGGTTGCAAAGCATTGCTTCCGACGGGCGCTGTGGCGAGTGGTTGCTCAGTATGACGATCAGGTATGCCCGCAGGGATGATGGTCAGTCTAGGGACCAGGGCTGCAATGATCGCAACGCTGCCCGTATATGCCATGTATACAGACACGCAACACTACATAGGCTGCGCCTCTCGAGGAGTACAATCACTGCAACGTCACATCCGCAAAGACCGGCCGGTGGTCGCTCGCCAGGACACCGTCGTCCGTCAGCGAAGACCCGACGCGGTACGCGTCCGCACTCCTACGTCCACAACGCGTGAGTTCGGTCATGCAACGACCACAAGTACTAGTACTCACCACTGCCCGTTGCTCCCCGCGAACAAGAAGTCGATCCGCGAGTACGCCGACGTGTCGAACGGGAGCCCAAAGCCGGTATACGTCGCGTGCTCCCCGCTCACCCTCACCCTCGGCGTCTCCGCGCGCAGATCGAGCATCCTAAACTCGTCCACACCCTCGGGGACGGCGTAGCGCGCGGCGAACGTCGCGTTGATCGCAACGGGCGGGGCCTGGCCGGTGAGGATCTGGTACGCGCCCGCGCCGGAGCCGGAGGGGGGACTGTTGAGGTCGCCGGAGAGGAGGACGGGCCCGCGCGTTGCGTGGGCTTCGTGCCGCGCGCGGAGGAGGAGGAGGGAGGCGCCGAGGGCGCGTTGGGCGGAGGAGAGGTTGTCGAGGTGCGTGTTGAGGAGGGTGAGCGGGGTGTTGTTGGTTGGGTCGGAGGTGAGCGTGAGGCGGGTGACGGTGCAGATGCGGGTGGAGCCTGCGCCGGGGTATTTGGAGGGCTCGAATGGGGTGTTGCTGCGTGGGTGGGGGTATGTGGGACGGACATGGGTGGGAGAGAGGGATGGGGACGTACGAGAGCCAGAAGGTGTCGTTGGACACGAGCTCGAAGGCGGACCTGGGTGCGAGAGCAAGCGGGAGATCTGAGTGAGTTGCGAGATGAAGAGAGGGGCGTGCCGTACTTCTTGTAGAAGATGGGGTTGAACTCGCCCTTTGCGATGCCGTCGTCGCGCCCGACCCCGACCCATGCCCAGTCGTCGCCAAACAGCTCAGCGAGGTCGTTAACCTGCCGGATGAGGGCCTCTTGGAAGCCTGTCCCGCGTGCTCCTCAATATACCGCTGCTCTCCGTCACTTTGCAGAAGGATCGAACACTCACCAGCCAAAACGATGCCCTCGTTCCTCAGGTGCTGGTACACCTTGATCCGCCGCGTGCTCCATGGCTGCTCGAACACCTTGCCATAGTAGATGGTGGGCTTCTTGAGAGGGTCGGGGAGGGAGTCGATGGACTGCTG